CAGTGGAGGAAAAGTGTCCATTTACCTAGAAAAGAAATTGTCAAATGCACAAAAAAAAAAAAGAGAAGAATCTAGGTGCCTTCTTACATGCCAAGGGACTTACAGAGTTAAGATGTTGAAGAATACTTGAGATTCAAAATAGACAAAACAAAATAGAACAAAATAAAGTGTCAGAAAAGTTCAAGACAAGGAAAATGTATAAGTAATCTATCTTACTTTGTTTTAAACTTATTAACATACAGCATACTGTAGTCACATCTGAAATGAACCATTGTTTTTCCAGTTCTTCTATCTGAAATTAATTTTCCTGCATTGTATTTTCTTGTTTCAGGAGCAATGATGGTGCATTAGCAGAGTAAATAGAATGCATTGTCTGTCCAGAAGTTTACAATCTAGCTTTTAATATCATATAAGGAATGGAAGATACATGTTAAGTAGGCCAAATAGTTGAGGAGACCAAATATAAAGACAAGATTTGTAATACAGATATGCTACACTGAGCTGTAGAACAGCTTTTGAAGGTCAAAATAAATACATAGAGAAAAGTGGGATAAAATACGGCATAGATTTAGGAAAAATAGATTGTGGCAGACTTGCTGCAACTTGTTATCTTACACTAGGATTTTCTAGAAAAAAATACACTAGATCTGATGTGTTTAATCTTCAGTAATGTTTGATATTTTTACGTAATTTCTCACATGGTAAATGGAGAAAATTGGTATTAATTAAACTGTAAGGCAACTTAGGAATGCAATAAGAAATAACAGGTAGAAAGAGGAAGCTTTAATGGAAAGGCCGCTACAGACTGAATTCTGAAAAGACCGTTTCAGAAAATACTTAGTATTTTCCTTGATGACATTTGTGGAAAAATTGGAGTTGTGCTGACAAAATTTTATAATGTCACAAAACTGGGAGGCATTAGCGATAGAGAGGAGGATCGGAATATCCATCTACCAGTAAAATGAATCATAACTAAGATTGATAGAGTTGGATGAGATTTGGTGATATAGAAGATAGTTATGCAAACAGAAGCTAATCATAACTTATTCTAGACGAGCTCATCATCTGGCAGTGAATTATCCGATGTTGTAGTCAGTGGCAGATTATAGCATATCACTGATGTGATATGGCTGAGGCAAAAAGAAGGATATTTTAGGAGAGAGATTTCCAGTATCTATAGAAAATATTAATGTCAAAGTATATAGCTCTAGAGAGACCTTATCTGAAGCCTCATGTATAACTAATAACCCATGTTCAAGTAAATGGACTTGAACTTGTACAGATGCAGAAAGGGACTACGTGGCTCTTAAGAGGAACTAAGACGCTATTTACTGAAAGGCACAAAAGTGACAATTATATGGTATTTTTTATAGGGTAGGAAACAAACTATGTGGACTCAGGATTTCTTAGGAAGAAAAGCAACTGGGTATGAAAGGGTGACGAACAGAGTTTACTAGAAGTTACAGGAAAGCTTCTAACTATCAGACCACAGATGTTTTAAAGTGGTTTCAAATAAGAAGTCTTCTTTTTTTTTTTAAGTAAGTTTGAATCCGCAGAAGAACATCAACATGTGGTTATCTGCAGTAGTGGTGAATTTGACTCAGTAATCCTGAATATCTCTTCTTCTAATTCTGTATTCTTGTGTTCTGGTAAAATGGATTATGACTGTGAGATGGATGTGTAGATTTGCAGTGGCCACGTTTTTGAAAGTATTGCTGACTTTGGTCATCTTTGTTTCCATTTTCATTAATCAAGCTTTTGTCTCTTCCTTGGGACCCTTACCAGAAGCAGAGCAGTTCACTTATGTTCATTACCAATTGCTTATCTTCGTCTGCACGCTCTGAATGTGCTAACAGAAGAGAAAACATGTTCATGACTTCACTGACTTTACCATTTGGAATAGTCAAACTGTATGATTTGGACTCCTTATACATGGCATAATGAATGAACGTCTACTCGCACAGCGCTGCCTTAACTTTCCAACCCTGCATGGGCTATTCTTAGAAGTCTTTTGGAACAATTTTAAGGAAATAATTTAAATGAAAAACTTAAGTCATTTAGGACAAGAAAATATTGCATTCTTAAGTGTATGTATAATCAGCTCCCTTGGGATGTTACCTGAGGCCTTGTGTCTTTGTTCTGCTTTTGTTTTTAGAACCTGTGGTTTTCGCTTACAGCATTTAATGCTGCACTGAAGAATTAACTGAAGAGCCTTAAAATTAGAACATTGCTTTTCAGAACAAGGCTACCATGCTCCATGCAGACGCTTTAGATTTTTCTCTGGCGTTGTTGTTATTTAGGAAATCTCCACTTCGTGGAGAACTAAACAATCACTGCTCAGCCATCCTTCCATGTTTTTTTTTTTCTCTCAGTCCTCAGCTGTATCAGGTTATCCAGAGAGAAAGAATCTGTTTAAAGGAGATAACTTCCCATTCAGTGGTCAATAGAAAATTAAGTGATGGAGTCAGTTTAATCATCAATGTATGCGTTAAGTGCTACCAGTGGCACTTTTTCTAGATGTTGCAACGGAGGACTGAATGGATTACAGGGATTAAACTTCCTTCATCCCCCTAGAGGTGAACAAGTCATGTGGAAATGGAAGGCTCATTTGGTAGGAGACAATATGAAAGACTTGGAAGACAAAAAAGTAATATATATTATCTCTGAATGGTTTCTTGCACACTTTCTCCATAATAGATGGTGGTATGTGAGCTGCACACAGAAACCTGAGGCTTACATGGCAGTTATGTGACTGTAAAGAGATCCTATGTGTAAGGAAAGAAGCGCACTTGGTGGTTATCTCACCTGGATTCCCGGAAGATTTTTTTCTCTTCTATCATAAGTTTGTTTAAATAAATAAATAAATAACCTATTCATAGCATATGCTGCTTCTTTTCTTGACCATTTTGAATGAGAAGGAAGCCATCGTCTTTCTCAGTGAAATGATGGGAACACAGTGTTAAGACTACAGTAAAGGTAATTTTGTTAAATTGACCTGATTTGGCCCAGGATTTGCCCATGTCACCCTACAAGGCTTTCCGCTGCAAAGAGAGGCCCTTCGTCGGGGTCACCGGTCACTTGTGTCCTCTTGTGCTGTATTGTGCCTCTTGAAATTCCACTGATTCTAGGAGCATTTTTGTAGAAGTGAGAAGCATTCATGTAATAAGACTGATAATTATGCTCACATGATTCAATAACAAGAGCCAAACAGGAACAGAAGCCTAATGTTTTCATATTAAAAAGGGTGCTAATACTAATAAGAGTAAGGCAAGTCTGTTCTTTTGCTGGTTTTATACAAATAAGTATGGCTGGAATGTGCGCATGTGTATACTCACAACATGTATATATACACGTACACAAACTTTGCTGCATTTGCTAGCTGTAGAATAGAAATAGCAAAGGATCAATATATAAAAGTAGTGGGAACTTGCATGCTGAACAAAATCTAGGTGTGCCAGAGTTTGGTTTTGATAGGATTAAACTCAAAAAGAGATTGTTCACTGCATCCTGTAGCAGCATTTTAGTGTTGTGTTTTTTTTTTTAACAGTTATTATTGTGAACACTTTGGATTCAGATCTTCAGCTGCTGTAAATTTTTGGTTCTTTATTGATGTCTCCAAGAGAATAGTGATTTGCATCAGCTGAATGGATGGCCTTCTAGGTGGATGCATTTTTGTGGTGTCTTTTGGCTTGTGTAAGTTATTGACTGTTGTTTTTTTATTCTGTGAATAACAGGAAAAGGAGGGGTAGGGATAGTCTGTCTCCCCAATAAGCTCCTCCCATATGAAAGAAACAGCTCAGCACCTCTGAAATGATTGTGTATTTGTTATAGCAGCATCTATAGAAGCAGAAATACAAATAGGAGAAGAATACAGAATACAATAGGAACTTAACGCATTCCCCTGATCTCTTCCCCACCTTATGAAAACCTTAGGATGGAAGGAAATGACATCTCTTGGAGCTACTTTGTTTCCTGGAGTACCACCTTATGCAGAAACTTCTCTCAAAACTTAATCAAAGTAGAATAAGTGATTATCAAGCAGGATAAAAGTTTTATTTGTGCCTATGTCAGAGGAGTGGTGGTCATTTGTCTTGAGTGTCTCTCTGGAAAGAAAGTCCAAATGATTGCTACTATTATTGTGGTATGTAAGTAGTTGATAGCTTGGTTTATATTATGAAGATGATATGAGTTTTGCTCTTCCACTATCAAGCACTAACAGTATTGACAGTTGGAGAAGCCAGACCTCACCTCTGAGTGAGGCAATATTCTACTACCACGAATTCCACAACACAGTATCACCCCTTAATACTTATTTTTCTATTATCACCCATGGGTGAAGGACTAGAGCATCTAAAGATAAAATGGCTGGGTGCCAGCTAACCATGAGAGGACAGCTATTCCTGCTCCTAGCTTTCTCTGCCTGCCTAGGTGCTGGTTACCGGGTGTCGTTGCTGTGACCTGCACCTTAGCGCTGGTGAGCAGCTCAGTTGCACTGGGCTGTACCAACAAGGCATTCACCTGCTGTTATGTGTGAGGTCTGTCCTACCAGGTGCTCCAAAAGCCAGCCTGCTGTGGCTGGGCCTCACGAGGTATGAAGAGACATGCTGTGCATCAGTGGTCTGTCAGTTCAAGCGTGTAAGCATGGGAAACTGAACTTCAAATCCCGTGCCCGCCTCTGCATCTCTTTTTCACTTTGTTCTTCCTGGGAGCTCTGAGGTAGTTAGAGATGATGGAAGAAATACTATTTTGGAGAGGAGCAAGTACAAGGCTGCATCTCTAAAGCTGACAGTTAGGGCAACCATGTTCCATGATGGATAGCTGGGATTAAAATCCTTACTGTAAGGGAGAGTTATAATATTGGGAATGACTAGTTCTCCCAGGGTCTTCTTAAAATGCCAGCTTTTCATGGTCAGAACTCCTTTGGAAGTACAGAAGCCAGACCATTTTTAAAAAAAATAATGGGGGGGGGGGGAGAAGCATATTTTTTAGCAACAGGAGACTGGGATTTTGCTCTCAGCTTCTGTCCCTAATAGTGTCCTAGTTCAACCTAGTGCCAGTTTCCTCATGTGCAAACTAGGAGTAATATATTCTACTACACGAGCATTCTTTGAAATGTAATTCATGTTCATGAAATACTTGGAGACAGAGAGTGTTCTAGAAGCACCAAGTTATGGTAGGGGCACCCAAACTGTCTGGTGAACAGTGGACCTTTGAGGAGACCCTCAAGGAAGAAGGTGTTTTCTGTTTAAGTGTGGTGTGCGGGGTTTTTTTTAGTCTGTGATGACAAAGCTGGCATATAGAAGAGGGTAAGTAGATATGTGGAAGAAAGGAAATGTTGTGTGGCTCCTGGTCCGCGGATATGATGCGATGCAAACTTGTCCTATACTGCACTGTCAGCAACAACAGATGCATTGGGTGGGGGGAGGGCTAGAGACCATTTGGCATTTGAACTATTCCACAAAAGAATCCAGTGCAAGAGGGAGGAGTTGATGTACTACAATGCAGTGGACGAACACTAGGTTATAGATGGGGAGACAAAGGTTTATTATGAAATGTAGTCCATCATCTGGGTGTGACTGAATGGATCATGCGAGGTGACGCTGAGCGTTGGCAGTGGCAGGAGGGACACGCGTTCCTGAACTTTGTTCATTTTATGTGAATAAGTGTCCATATCACTTATCTACAATTAGTAAACTAAATAGCAGAGACATCAAGGATTAAACAATGAGAATACACCCTTTTGTTTCTACAGATGGTATTTTCAGCTCAAAATCAGTACGTTTCAGTGGGCTGTAGAACTGGAGAAGGTTAATCTTCTGTTGTTGCTGCCCATAGTATGTCTCTTCACGAAATATATTTTGCAGCTGGATTTGCAGTATATGCACCTATTACAATTCTTTAGAATAAGTACTTTTTTCACTTCCAGCATTGCTGGTGATTAAAAACAAAAAAACCTTTATATGCATGACCTACTCAAGCTGTTCCCTGCTCTGCATGGGGAGGGGATCTGGAGCTCATCATTGTAATCACTTCTGGGAACACTTAACAGGGAATGGCAAGAAAAAGAGGAATTTAGAGGTTTTACAAGAGACTGCAGAGCTCACCTGTTAACCTGTAGTAGGTAAACGTGAAAAATCCCTTTATAAAGTACTAGAAGTTTGTAGCCCCACTTATAATGTATCCTTTTGAAGTGGAATTGAACTGACTTTTTCATAAAGATCAATGTGCATCTGCACAGCATGTTGAATTTACAGTCTGTAGACTCAATTAGTTAATGTGCCAACCACTGTCTTGCACTAGTTTCTGTTTAGCCTCTGTTGCTACATTTACCTGCAGTGATTTGTTGTTGAGAAATTCAGGACTTCAATCTCTGAAGAAGGGGAGGTTGCTAAAGCCCAAATTTTATTTAAGAAACAACAAGAAGAGTGTAGATGTTATACAGTGTGGTAACTCAATTTCAAAGCTAAGACAGCTGGCTTATGTTCACAGGTTCCTGTTCTTCTAATAGTAACTATCATCAAAAGTATGCTATTGCAAGATTAGAGAGACATACAAAACAAAATTTGCCCTTACTTGCTTATTTATTATGGTAGTTAATGTTATCCCTTTATCACAATTCGCTTTTGTCTGGCTTGTTTACACCTGTAAGCTTTGCAGAGCAGGGACAAGCTGTTCTGGGGTTGTTCAATGGCTGGCAGCATGGGCTGCCCCTTCTTTATGAATACATGGGTACCTTCTGTTAGGCCCTCGTGAGGACTTCAAGCACTAAGAGCCAGCTAGCTGCTATCCTCAAGTCTAGAACATAGATACCCAACCCCCTGCCTAACCAAGGAGCATGCTAGGAGAGAGGAGGGTTATGTAAATACCTGCTTCTAGGGGTGTCCAAAGGCACTGCTAGTAAATGCTTAAGACTTGTGTTGGGTGGGATGAGAATGCCTGTGTCCAGCCCCCGACCTCTGCCGCACGCTGGCTTTCTCTTGCCTCATTTAGCCCAATGGACAATCAGATATTCTGTGTGCGATGGACCAGCTTAGCAGGAGGGACTGAGACGCAGATCTATGCCATGTAGTTAAGACACTCTGCCGCCGAACACCCTTTCAGGCAGAGGAGGGAAATCTTGAGTTTCTGAGTTCCTATGTGACTGCTAAGGAGTGTGTGGGGAAGGGGGGCTACCACGACCCCTGCCGAAGAGATAGATTAAGTACCTAGGAAAAGGCTCAGGACTGGGAATCCCAAGCAATGTGTCTAGCTTCAGCCTAGAGTTAGGGTCCACTGCTATTTGAGGAGTTGAAAGAGATTTATCAGCATGCCCAGCTAGTTCATGTAGGGAGTTTTTCACTTAACAGGTGATCTACAGGCCAGTGTAGATCCCGTTCTTGGATACCTGACTGTCCTGCATTATGTATGGAGGCTGGGTGTCTAATCTGGAGCTCTGAATTTGGGTGAAGAGACACTGCAGTGCTCATCACTGCAGCACCTGGGCCCTTTATTGAGTCTGGCCGCACTGCAATGAGTGTGAGTAATGATAATAGAGGCATGAGAGTAGAATGACTGCACAGGAGAGAGAGCGAGCTGCACTTGCTAGAATGCAGAACATATTTTTAAAGGGATTAAATTAGTGCTAGGTGCAAGAATATCACTTAATGAAACAAATGACTATACCTTTTTTCAGTGGCAGGAAAAAAAGTGACACGCCACAGATTGCCCCCTTTCTATGCTCACTATTCTTGCAGAATAGATGGCACTGTAACCCGGGTTAGTCAGACTTGGGTGAGTGTTTCTTCCTACTGATGTTCTTTTATCTTCTATTCATCTTATTTCTTTTCTCTTTGCTATATTTCATCTTCTTTCCATCTTTTGATTTTTTTTTTCCTCTCTGTAGTTAGTTCTCCATCCTGATTTGTTTCTTCATTTTATTTACTATTCCTTTTTTACCCGTGTATGTACTTATTCCTTTAGCTCTCCTAAATACTTTCTCTTTTGTCTCTCTTGTGATCTGCCATACAGTTTGGTCACCTTCCAGGTACTGGAGCAACATAGCTGAGTTGTGGGTTGACTTACGCTTGCATCACTACCCTGAACCTGATTGTGTCTGCAGTCATCTGGAACTGACTACATGCCTAGACTGATAAAACATGCCGTGCAAACATGAATCTCTCTGAGGCCATGGCAAGGTAGTCTCGTGCACGTGTGCATGCTGATGTTTGAGTACATTCAAAATGTCTGCAGTCGGTTCCATCGGCTTAGCTGACTAGATGCTCCATTAGGTTTTGCAGCAGCTTATGGGAAATGGGAAGAGTTTTGCAAAGATTCTGAGAAGACCAGGATTAACCCTGAAAAGGGGGATATGCCTAGTGTCCAGGAATGTATGATGACCTTAAACAAGAGACACCCAAAATCCCTCAGCTGACCTTTGTATAATGTATAAAGATTCCAGTGAGTCTCTTTCC